TAGGGCAGGAAGTGACCAAAGATTTACTGACAAGGACTGAATTAGGGTAAGAATTGAGCCTTGCATCCATGCTTGATAAAGTGGTAATAAACTGACCTTGAGATCCTGGATGGGACTAACTGAAGGTGATAACGAACTGGGCCTCACATCAAGGACACAGCGATGAGTCATCCCCTTGGGAATCTGAGTTTAGAATCTATGTAGGAGACCGTTCCCCCTTATTGAGTTGGCAGTAGCTGCGGACCCCACTCTAGGGGCTCCGTCTCAGCTGCTGTCTGGGAGCAATAAACTCTGCTTCTCAGCCTTTCTGCCTCCCGCCTTCCTTTATTGTGGCCAGTCACAGAAGTTGGGACAAAACACTTAGGTTTGTTCCACACACCCAGCAGACAGACAGCCTACTCTCGCATTGGAGAGTGATGTGAAATAAATGAAGACAAAACAAATGTGAACGAGACCCTTCCTGGTAGCATAACAGGTTAGGATGCAGCATTGCAAGCTTCAGTGCCAGTTCAATCCCCGGCCCTGGAGGTGATCCACAGGGTGCAGTAGACCTCTCCTGTCCTGCCTTATGCTCCCCTCAGCAACAATCTATCTGTTCTGCTCCCCAGTCTATTTCCGGTGAATCCTCCCACCGCCCCTCCACCTCTGGTTTGTACCCCAGTTCTGTATGCATAAATAAATAAATCTTAAAAAAAAACCCACAAATGTGGACCTCTGAAAGTGCCTGATTATGAACATGCTGCAGTGAAGTAGTCAGGCACAGCCCCTGTAATTCGGCAGAGACTCAAAGACAGCAGAGAGTGGGAAAGTTTTCAGTGGGAAAAGGGCGCTTCAGGGGTGTCCTGATAGGAGGCTGTGGGTGAAAGGAGCTGTAGGACAGCTCATGAAAGCAGGCATCCTTGTGATAGGGTTCCGATGGGGGCTGGGTTTCAAGGAGTGGGGCCTTGGTTTAATTCTGAGAAGTTTCCAGAATTCTTCTTTCAGTGACATGCGATGAGTTTGCCAAGGAGATGAAGACTTGTGCAGACAGACACAGGCAGGTGAAGTTTAGATTTAAAAAGTTAGTGTAGGGCCCTCCCTGGTGGCGCAGCGGGCTAAAGCACAGCACTAAGAAGCTTAAGCCGCTTCCTCGAGTTCGATTCCCGCCTGCCCTGGAGGAGATCCACATGGC